AACAAGACAGCTGGGCGGGTTGGGTAGGAATCTCCTCTCCATGCTGGAAGCAGAGTTCAAGTCCAGTCCTTGGCAAGTGTGTACCGAGTTTTGCTGGCTCTCAGGCGGGTCCTGGAGGATGCTGTAGTGCAGAAGGCTCGAGGCGCTCTCTCCTCCCCGCCAGCTTTCACTTGAGCGTCTCTTTTTAATTATTATTTCAAATTCAATGAAGGAAAAAAAAAAGTCTGAAGGAAGTTCTTCTCGCTGCTTTCACGCTTTTCTGATTTGTTTTTTTTTTGTTTGTTGTTGTTTTGTTTGTTTGTTTTGTTTTTTTTCGAAATTTCTTTTTCTTTCTCTTCCCTCCGCGGCTTCAGGGCCTGGTGAGCTGCGTGTAGACGGGCTGTTCCCAGTGCTGCGGGCTGTGGGTCTGGGGGATGGAGGGGACCCCCGAAGTGTCTGCAATGGGGGTGTACATGGGGCGCTGCGTGGGGTTCATGTAGGTGAAGGTGGAGTAGAGGCCGCTGCCCTGCCCCGCCGCGTGGCTGTAGTAGGAGCCGGAGTTCTGGTGGTCGGTGTAGTCGTACTGGGAGCGGGTGATGGTGGGGTAGGACGAGCTGTAGTGCTGCAGGTTGAAGGAGCTGTAGTTGATCTGCTGCGGGGAGTGCTGCTGCTGCTCGCTGTAGTGGCTGGGGCTCAGCTGCTCCGTCTTGATGTGCGTCCTCTGCTGCGCCGCCGGGCCCTGCTCCCCGCTCAGCGCCGGCAGCCCGTGCTGCGCCGGGGGCTGCGGCTGCGCCGGGGGCTGCGCCTGCTGCTTGGACATCCACACGTGGCCGGCGCCGCCCGGGGAGCCCGACGTGCTGCTGATGCCGTAGCTGCCCGTGTAGGTGACCTGGCCGGGCTGGCCGTGCGCGGCCGGGCCCCCCGGGTGCCCGTTGGGAGGCAGGTACTGGTCGAACTCGTTGACGTCGAAGGTCTCGATGTTGGAGATGACGTCGCTGCTCAGCTCCCCGATGTCCACGTCTCGGAAGTCGATGTGGGGGGGCTGCCGGCCACCCTCTTGCAGGGGGCGGCCCTCCCGCTTCAGGTCCTGCTTGCCGGGCTGCGTGTCCGTCTTAGGGGTGGTGGGGGGTGTGGGGGGGCCCTGCGACTGCCCTGTGGGAGGAAGGAAGGGGGACAGGGGTGAGGGGGGTGTCGCTGTGATAACTCAGTTAATGGTTAACCCCCCCACGGGGGGCAGGGGAACGGCGCCTGCGGTCGTGTGGGGTAACACTTCCAGGTGTGAGGGGCTCAGACATGAGCCCTGTCAGCACCAGCCTACTGCACTGGGTGAAATAACTGAGCCCTCAGACGTGAGCTGTAACGTGGGCCAAGTTTTTAGGGTGCTTTTTATTTATTTATTTATTTATTTATTTTAAAGCTTAACTTTACGTTTCTCACGTGCACGGGGTGAGGGGGGGGGTGCAAGTGGCTGCAGTGGCACGTACGGGCAAAGCTTGTGGGCAGCTCTGCCCCCCTTCTCACTGCATTTCTGGGTCTCCTTTTCCCTCCCTTGCCCAATCCCAGCCGGTTTGGGCTGCAACTTTTCTTAGGGAGCTGTAGCTGCGCCGTCCCCCCCAAAACGCCTCGTGGGTGCGTGGGTACCTACCCGAGTGCTCCCCGGGGGAGTGCACCTCGCTGATGCTGGAGGACGACTGCGGGGAGTCGGCCTGCAGCGCCTTGAAGATGGCGTTGGGGGAGATGTGGGTCTGCTCCGAGCCCTCCTCCTGCTCCGACTGCCCGTTCTTCACCGACTTTCTCCGCCGCGGCTGGTACTTGTAGTCGGGATGGTCCTTCTTGTGCTGCACCCGCAGCCGCTCGGCCTCCTCCACGAAGGGACGCTTCTCGCTCTCGTTCAGCAGCCTGGGGGGGGACACGGGGGGTGCGAGGGGTCAGCTGCGGCTCGGGGGGGGCATTAGCGCGTTAACACCAGCTCACGTCTCTCCCCTGGATTCCCCCGCTGGCGATGCAAAGCCCCCCAGGATGCCGAGCCCCCTGCATGGGGCACTCGCTGCTTGTCACCCCCCAGGTTGCTTCAGGGGCCAGGGAAGAGGTGCGGGAGCTGCACCGGGGTCCAGCCCTCGCCCTCCCCACTCCGTGGGCACATGTCCCTGTCCGCGGGTGCTTTGGGGACAGCCCCATCGCTGCCTGCCAGGGCTAGGTTTGCTCACTCATTTCTCCTCCTGCCACAAATTTAGGATCTCCCCCCCCCGCCCCCTTGTGCAGTCACAGAGTGCGCGGTGGCCAGGTGACTCACTTGCCTTCTGTTTTTCTCCCCTCCCTGCCTTATTTTGGCAGTCGGAGGGCACCCGGCCATGCGCCACTCGCCGCCGCCACCCACCCGGAGCTTGGCACCGCCGCCCCCTCCCCGCGCCCCGCATCGCCCCCCTCCCGCACTCCCTCCCCTCCCGGCCCGAGCTGATGCAATCCCCAAACCCATCATTTCCTCTGGACCCGGGAGCACAAACAAACAGCGGCCGGGGCAGCCCCCGCTCGCACGGCCCGGGGGGCTCCGCCAGCCCCCGCACGGTCCCCCCGTCCCGAGCATCGCTCGGGGAAAAGAAACCGCTTCCAAGACCAGAAAGCGGCCACGGGAAACCGCTTTCCCTACTTTCCCTCTACTATTCTGGCTTCTCCTGCGCCAAACAAGTTCGCCGGCACACGCAAAAGTTTTAGCGACTCTTCCAGGCTGGGAACATCCTCTGCCTCCCGCGGCCGCTGGTCCAGGCTGGAGCGGACTCTGCAGCCGCAGCCCCCGCAGCATCCCGCGGTCCCCCCGGCATCATCCCGGCCCCGCGCTCACCTCCAGAGCTTGCCCAGGGTCTTGCTGAGCTCGGCGTTGTGCAGATGCGGGTACTGGTCCGCCAGCTTCCTGCGGGCCGCCTGCGCCCACACCATGAAGGCGTTCATGGGTCTCTTCACGTGCGGCTTGTTCTTGCTCGAGCCGTTCACCCGCACCGGCATCGGCACCAGGGTCCAGTCGTAGCCCTTCAGCACCTGGCTCACCGCCTCCCGGATGCACACCGGGAACTTGTCCTCGTCGTTCTCCTTCTTCAGGTCCGGGTCCCCCTTAGGGAAGGTGTTTTCTTGGGGTCTGGTGTTCTCCGTGTCCGACCCGGATCCAGAGGGACAGGGGGACCCGGCGGAGTCATCCGACATAGTGGGGCTGGGGGCGTCGGAGATACATTTGTCCTGCTCTTCTGTCATTTTCATGAAAGGGTCGAGGAGATTCATGCGAGAAAGTGGCCGGGGGGGGGATCAAGGGACGAAAAAAAGTTTTGCCTTTTTTTTTTTTCTTTTTTTAAGAAAATCGAAAAAGTCGAGCGCTAAGTGGGCGGGGAAGCGTTAAAAAAGGCAAAACTCAGGGAGAAACGAAGCGGCAGCTTCGAAACCAGCGGCGGGAGAAAGAAAGAGCCGGAAAAAAAAAAAAAAAAAAAAAAAGAAAAAGTCGGCGAAAACTTTTTTATT